CTCTGTGAGTTCGAGGCCAGCCTGGGCTACAGAGTGAGTTCCAGGACAGGCTCCAAAAACTACACAGAGAAACTCTGTCTTGGGGGGAAAAAAAAGAATTGAATGGGAGAGCTATGTTCTGGAGTCCTTGCCCACAGCCCCAAATCACCATTCTGTCAGTCTTCGTGTGAAGACAAATTCACTCGAGCATAACTCGTGTCTCTGAACACACAAACACCCCAGCACTTTGCGACCATCACTGTTTCTACATGCCGCAAGAGTAACATCTGAGAAATCGGAACGACTTCACAGAGCATCTTTTCTAGAATCTTCCTCCCCCTGCCTGTGGCTGGCTGGCTGACTGTGCAACACTCCAACTCTTAGCTGATGCTTAAGAAGGAGGAACTTCCTGGGAGTTCAGACTAACAATGGCTGATCAGCTATGAGTCACCTCCACCTCCCAACTGTCCCAGGTGGTGGCAGATGTTGTTCCCAGCCACTCCAGCCAGTAACTCACCAGTTTAGCAGGCTGATTTCATTTATTTGTTTCCTTACTTTTGAGACAGGGTCTCCTTATGTAGCCCTGGCTGTCCTGGAACTGGCAGAGATCTGCCTGCACAGCACTAGATGTTGCAGCTTGGTCCTCTCCTCACATCACCGCAGTAACTCGGCTTCCCTTCTGTCCTTTCCGACCTCCTCCTGGGCCCCTCTCTGCATAACCCTGAATCTTGGGTGTACCAAGGCCCAGGACTTGCCATACTTCCCTATCTCCAATCTCTCCCATTCTCTAGCCCCACCCACACGCGCATGGCACACACATTCCCACATGCCGACTAACCGAACTCAGCGGCCAGCCTACATCCCCGCCTACCCCAGCCACGGGTTCCCGTGTGACAGTAACCAGAGGAGGGTCAGTGAGTGGTCACGTCCTTTGGAGAAGGGAGCCATAAATAATACAGCAATAATACCCAGGACCAAGAAGTTCAGGCTCAGGGCGGAAGGAATAACAACTGGGCAAACTCACCCACGAATCACAACACGGCAAATCACTCCCAGCCATCTCTCTTCCTACAACAAATTATAAGCCCCAGGAGATCGGGGACCCTCAAGAAATAACAAGTGACCGGATAATCGTGTGATAATCACTTGCTCTGAGACCCTTTGGCCCTCCGCATTGGTATCCCCAGCGTCTAGCATAGTGCCCAGGGTGCTGCTGCTGGGCACCAGCACATATCAATCCAATTAATTAACCAAACCCTCTTCTTTCTTTGCAGTTGTTGCTGGGGGGGGAGGGGGGGCCACATGGGTGGGGGGAGACCAAAGTGTTACCATCTTCAGGAAGAAAGAAAAAAGGAAAGAGAGACAGACGGACAGAAAGCCGTATAGCAGTGCTAAGCGGAGTATTGTGGGATGGTTTTCAAAGCTGTGGCTCCTCAAAGGAGGAATGCACTTTATTTTTATTTTTTATTTTATTTCATTTTTCCGGAGCTGAGGACTGAACCCAGGGCCTTGAGCTTGCTAGGCAACCGCTCTACCACTGAGCTAAATCCCCAACCCCAAGGAATGCACGTTAAATATAGCAGCGTTCCCCCCTCCCACCCAGCGGCTTGCTCTTTGATTTTTGTGGGAACCTCTCTCTGCTCGTTTCTTCCCCCACCAGCTCCCCCAAGGTGTTTAAACCTTAAATGGTGACATTCCTAATCACAGGGAGGACTCATTGGGTCTCCTAGCCCAACCAAAACCCTGAGTGATGGAACACATTCTCACTAGTCAATGATGAGACTCTCCGAGGCAAGCTCGAGGCTCAGGGCCCGGCTAATGCCAAGGCCCTGCTCCCCAGTCGGGGTAGCAGCAGTGGACAGGTAGAGTTTCAGGCTGGCGGGAATCCAAGGACAGACAGAGCAAGCCGCAGATAGGGTTGCCGTGGACAAATTCCTAGAACAGGATCGCTCGGTCCCTTGATGTCCCACAATAGCGGAGAGGGTGATTGGCAGCCGGTGGGCACGGTGAGACGTCTATTGTGATCCGGCTCTAGCCACCTGATAGCTCTCCCCAGATTCCCCCGGGGTCTGGCTGCCCGCTGGAGTCACCTTGCGGTTCCTCATTTTGGCGAGGGGGAAGGAGGGGAACACTGTGTATCCTGAGAGAAGTGTGTCTGACATGCCTGATCCGTTCCATCTGGGAGCGTCATGAGTCCCATCTGGCTCCAGCAGTCTCAGCTGAGGAGCAGCGGATCCCAGCAAGCCGCCAGCAGCTCCAACCCTCTCCAGCCCGCTCCTCCTTCGTCTTCCTGGAGAGGAAGACCCCTGCAAACGTCTCCTCACCCAGGCCCTGCCGTCTTTCCTGCAATACCCTTCACCCATGGGTCTGGGTGTCCCCCTTGGGGTCGGAGGTTCACTGGAGACCCTCTGCAGAGGGCAGGCCTCTTGGGAAAGCACAGGGTCATTTGCAGTTCTGATTTATGGTTCTGGGGAGCCAGCTCGGTGCTTCACCACTGGAGCTGCCTTGGAGCTTCAAAAGCCCACTTCCTGTCCCTGACCTTCTTACATCACGCAGAGCCGGGCCTGGTTTGTAGACAGAGCTCCCAGCAGACAGGAGGTCCTCTCCGGCGCCTCCTTTGCTGGAGTCCCGAGATGCACAACTGTTCCCTGCTCTTGACCGCTTTTCACCTCAGGTGGTGACAGACCCCACCATCCCGATGACCACACCACCACCACCACCAAGGCTTCTCAGGTGGGCTCACTGAGCCCTGGTAGGGACAGGGCAGAGAGCCCCAGGAAGCCGAGGCTTGGCTGACATGTTTGCAAACATTGGAAGTTTCTCTCTCCATGACTCATCAGAAGAGAGTGGAGTCCCTCCTTCTTCCTGGAAGGCAGCAAGCACAAGGCCAGCTCCAACCCCCACCACACACCCCAAAAAGTAAACAGCCCTCACTTAGAGCTTTCGCTTCAAAACTCAGATATCACCCCCAAAGATCAGCTACGGCATCTTGAGAGAGGGGACATTTTGAGGCCACAGAACAGCCCGGAAGAGGCTTCTCTGACCCAAGGAAAGGCAAGAAGAGGCTGGAGGTACAGCTGAGCATTCACAAGCATGTGCAGACGTGGAGGGTGTTTTCCAGAAAAATACCTGCCCCCTTATCTCTTGCCCAGCCCTATTTTATTTATATATTTCTTTATTTTTTCCCTTTTTGACACAAGCTCTCATGTAGCCCAGGTTGGCCTTGAATTTGCTATGTAGTTGAGGATAACCCTTAACTTCTGGTCCCCTAGCTTCCATCTCCCCAGGGCTGGGATGACAAGCATGCACCACCTCAGGGCGGTTGTTGGCACACGCCTTTAATCCCAGCACTGGGGGAGGGGGGGCAGAGACAGGAGGATCTCTGTGAGTTCGAGGCCAGCCTGGTCTACAGAGCGAGATCCAGGACAGGCACCAAAACTACACAGAGAAACCCTGTCTTGAAAAAAAAAAAAAAGAAAAGAAAAAAACCAAACCACACACACATAAAATCAGGCTAATTCAGATCAGAAGGGAGAAGGAAAAAATGGAAGACAGAGCTGTCTTTGAGAAACTTGCCATGCAGGCAGTGTGCTCGGGGGTCACGTCGTCTCCTTCCGTCCTTAAGACAAG